AAAAAAAAAAAAAAAAAAAAGAAAAGAATAATAATAATAATCACTAAATGAAAACAAACATGAAGAGTCACAGTTTCACAAATCTTAAACCTCTTCAAGGGGTTTTCGGATTTACTAGTAGTAACCAATAATGAGCGTACATCCTACAAAAAATTAAACTGTGAACACAACAATGTGAAACCCGATTTCGAGCACTATGCTGTATGAAATTACGATAACAATAAAAATATTCACAACCTCGGAGCAGAAAGTGAACACGACCCGCATCTTACAAAAAAGTAGTAAGTAATATAGGGATCACCAACCTATACAATAAACAATACACTACGCTGCCTTCATCATACTAAATAGCCAGATTCGCTACAATAAGTCTGAGGTAGAGCCCTCTCTCCTCTGATGCACTCCCCAAGACTACGGATGCTTTGTTCTATCCGAGTAAGATGCGGAAGAAGAGAAGGATGAGAGCCCTGTGGATAATTCTTTAACTTGTTTGATGCGAGTACATCTGGGAATTCATTTCATCATACCACTTCGCATGCGCCTGCACACAGATGAACAAAATCAAACTATAGTAACACAACAAAGATGCACGTATGCATATTCCAACTGAATAGAAAGTAAACAATCTGCTATCATTAAGCTTGTAAACTATCAAAATTTGTCAGTGAAACTTTAAATCTACAGAACAGTGATGCCAGACATTATTAGATTTTATTTACTAAGATATTAGATTTTGAATAGCAGGTCACTTGTCATTGGCTCTCGTGAATTAAAGCTGTTGACGAGTCTTACAGTAGAAAAGATTGTCTCCTATTGAAGTTTCAGTAGTTCCAGCAACCACATTTGAAACTGACAGGATGTTGGTGGAGCTAAATTGTTCGGGCTAAGATGAAGCATTTACCCCGTTGAAATCTAAAGTAAAATATTTAAAGCAAATGAGTGATAAGTTCTTTTCTTTTTTTTCTTTTTTTTTGTTGCTGCAAGATACATTAAGAACTGCATTTTGCTTGCCAGAAATAAAATTGAGCATTTTATCAAATTGACCAGGAGCATTATTGAAGCAACTGATTGATCAGGGAACAACTCAGCTCTGGTGAAGAGGAGAAATATCTTTGGTATTCCCTAATACAACATCATACCAACTTGGAACAAACACTCCCATCCCTAATGGTTCAGTAGGGCAACTCCAAACTTCATTTGAGAAATTAACTCACTATGTATTACCCACAAATTAAAACATTTTATGGTTATTTCCACATTGATCATTGTATACTTGTAACATATAATGCATAGCTACTTATAGAAGAGTTTTACGTTAACACTTCAATTTCAAACTTTTACAAGTAATCCCAATATATGCAAATAAGGGGTGCGTGCACGAGCACGCGTGCCCATTAGGGGTGTCAAACCGTATCCGTATCCGAGGAAATATCCGTAACCGTATCCGTTAGGATACGGATATGGTTACTCAAATCTATTACCAATAGGATATGGTTGCGGATATGGTTTTGTAGTGAAATATCTGTATCCGAAAATATCCGAATACATATTGGTAATACTCTTACGATAGTTTCGATTCTTAAATTATGGATTTGTGGTTAATTTTGATGATCAAGATGTCTAATCTTAGCTTTTCAATCATAATGAACATATTAACGAACTCTTTTTGTATCACATGACTATATTTTTCTGAATACTATCTAGTTTTCTCATATCCTTTTTGTATCCGGATGCATATCCGTTTATATATTCGCATCTATATCCGTAACCGTATCCGATTTTGACGGATATGGATATGAATTTTTCTTACCGACGTATATCCGTATCCGTATCCGTATCCGAGATGGGTAAGCGGATATGGATATGGTAAGTGCCATATCTGAGCCGTATCCGCTCCGTTAACACCCCTAGTGCCCACACGTGTGCCCGCCCAGTTTTATAAATGATCACGATGATTTTTGTCACTTACAAAACTAAAACGGACACATATGCTTAAACCCAACAACATCAATAAGTTGTAAATAAGAAAAGAAAACCCATCAATAGAAACATGGCAGTCGTTCATCACTAATATGTTATAACTAAGAAAAATTGCTATAATGTGCTTAGTATAAATGGTGATATATTAAATGTCAGTTAAATTTTAAGTAAAACAAAGTTTAGATATGTTCTTGCTATTTAGGAGAAGATCAAGGAATAGATTAATTATGGACTCTGGGTTGTCCATTTCTCAAGCTTAGTACAAATGGTGATATATTAAATGTCAGTTAAATTTTAAGTAAAACAAAGTTTAGATAGGTTCTTGCTATTTAGGAGAAAATCGAGGAAAAGATCGAGGAATAGATTAATTATGGACTCCGGGCTGTCCAAAATTCAAGTTCAAGCATCAGTTTGTTACATATGAATCTTTATGGCAAGAAACAACCGAAAGAAAAACTTACTGCAATCCACATAACCTTTAAATAAAAGATATGAAAATTTTCGACAAACTTAGGCTGCAAAAAAACTATAATCCAAGAACAATATATTAGCAATGACAAAAAAAAAACAATGCAGCCTTTACCTCAAACATTTGAGGTCGACTACCAAAAATAGTAAGGGTAATTGATATACCTCATGGAATGAACCTGTGAACCATTTGCAGGAGCCTTGGAACTACCAACCCGCTTGATCCTACTATCTTGCTCCTTGTTTACTTGCATGGCAGCGACCTCCTTCTCTATGGCAGCAACTTCTCTTCTCATTTTCTTTGCCTCCACTTCCATTGCTTTAGTCAGTGTATCAACCTTTTTGGACAGCATCTGAATGACAAAAGGTTAAAATATGATTAGACCACATTAACGATGTGAGCAAGTCAAACAAGCGTCTACCTCAATTGCATCATCTTTATCTTTCAAGCTTTGGTCCTTTTCATGACATGCTTTCCTCAGGGTGACCACTTCCTTTTGCAGCATGTCATATAACACTCCAGATACGGAATCATCTGCCTTGATATTAGGGAACTCACTGGGGTTTTCATCTGTATTATCCTTCCAACTGCTTTGCGTATCATTACCGTTAGTCCTATCAGAAGATTTATTCAATGAAAGGGGCCCTCCATTGGCAAGGCTTTTACTACGGTCAAGAGAACTGCTACCACCATCAAAAGACTTTGATGTACATTTGGCATGCTTCAATACTGTACTAGCGCTACTTGAAAGAGAAGATCTGAACTGAAATGAGGACGTTCTCTTAGGTGGAAAGCCATTAGGAGACAACCTGGAAAAATTTTCAGCTCCACCTAGTGATTGGCGACGTGAGGGACCATTGTTTATGTTTCTTCCATCTAAATTAGGGCGATAGCTGGCCCCAGACATTCTCAAACCCTCTTCTAATACTTTAAGGCGCAAGAGATACTTTTCCTGTGAGTAAAAAAGAATGAGCTCTTACTTGTTCTTTTAGTGATAAATGAAATAATGTGTCCAAAAATAATGAATAAATAACATGCTGCTGAGCTTGGAGAGAAGAGTCGTGGAGGAAACCTTTAATTGAGCTTCAGACCTGGCAGAGCGTTCTGCCACAGCAAGCTTATCTCGCAGTTGTTGCATTTCTCCCTGTTAGAAAAGCTAATCCAAACTTAGATTGAAATAGAACATCAAAAGACATTGACCTCTGTCAAATCCCATGAACAAAACTCAGACATAAATCTTACAGAAAACATAACAGATTTACCTGCATAAACCTTCGTTCTTCAAGCCATTGTTTGACAGGCATTACTTTGTCACTAGCACCCTTCCATTCATTTGCCACAACAACAGCAACCCTATTAGCTGTAACTTTCGCACGGGCAAGTTCACGATCAAGGGTTTTCCTCTCTACCTAATATGGAATGTAATGTATTGGTTGAAAATAACCAAAATCAAGTAAAAAGAAGTGCAAAGCAACCTTGGGGCTTGCGTCCCTCAAAAAAGGGTTAGGGCTTGCAGAAGACTAGAAGAATTGGTGTGGTTCAAGAAATTACAGAAACTCTAGATTTGAAAACAAGCAAGAAAAATTACATTCATTTCTTGAAATTTCCTCTGGTAATCTCTCACTGCGTTTGCAGTAGCCCCACCTGCAAGAACAGACTCTTCTAGCTCTCGCACTGTCTGGCTAAGCTTCTCAACTTCTGCAACCTTTTGGCGGTGCATTTTGTCGAGGATCTTGTTCTCTTCCTATTGTACAAAAAGTATAAAAAGACGGCAATGGAACTTGCATGAACCAGAACCTAATTCCAGAATTAAAAAAATAAATAAAAGTTTCTACATACCTGACATATTTCGATTTGTTTCATTAGTTCCTGGTTCTTATTTTGCAAATCATCCACCATGGAAGCTTTTGCCAGAGCAATCTGAACTGTTCTTTCTGCATCTAGTAATGCTGCTTCTTTTGATTTAGTGAGGCGATCCAATGCCCTGTTATCTTCTTGCAGCTTTGCGATCTGCATAAACAATGCATTGACTCAGAAAATATGGTGATAAAAGAATGAAGAAAAAGGGGTTCTATGATGAGAAGAACATCTATGAAAAAGTAGCTAACTGGTGTAACTATTTAGCTCTCATATTAATAAAACCAGAAGATGTCAGTTCAGGGCTGATGAGTACAATATCAGAAAGGAAACACTGCTAAATTGCAAGCAATAATTCTGCAGGTGAAGGGACTTCAATAACACCCTTGACATAAGAGATTTGATAGGCAACACTCTCTGTACTGTTTATGGGATGCATGAAACTTGAAGTCCTGTTGAAGAGAACTCTACACATCACACATGTAGGCAATTACATCTTCTGCTGGTTGGAAAATTTTTAAAAGCAGTAAAATTCCCAAAGTCCCCCCACCCACCACACACGCGGGCACGCGCACACACACAAGGAGCGGTATGGAGATAATGAGGAATAGTCTGGAAGACACTTATAATCTCCAAACTGAACTGCAGCGTGTTAGCACTTAGCAGCATGTCTTACCCTATCAAGAAATATGGAGAAGTTAGGTGTAGCAAATTGCAACTATTAGAAGAATGTCGATATGATTCATGTTGTTGCTTGTTGATTAATCATCATTATCTAGCCTTTTCCGTCAAAATAGGACCAACAATAAAGCACAACTCAAAGTGAAATAAACGCAAGAGAAGTACACAACATAAGTTTTACAAGCATCTTCCTTCCTTCTAATAATCCTCTCTGTGAGGTAATAAATCCCTCACAAGGTAAGCATATGCAGGAAGACAACTATGCCACATAAGCTTGCTAGCCTTAGCATATGTAATAAACCAATTGCACTCATGCGACCAATCAGTAAGCTTCCAAATACCACTAGAGTAAGAGAACATCTAGTAAAAGGAGGGAAATACTAATTGGATATGATTTGACACCAGGAAGCAATTTCGTACCTAAGGCATACTAAAGCCAGAGCGCCATATGGAATCTCATGGTATATTATAGCTTGCAGGTGAAAGCAAATCCTAGAATACTCTAGTTAGCTTATATCTTTGTCCAGATCTGTTTATAGTCTTCTGGAATTTGGAGATTGCTCTATCCAGGTTTTGTGCAAGGCTTTGCAGGCCAAGATTTCCAAGGCCATGGATGTGGTATATGCTCATTAAGGGTTAATGTGAAGCAGTTAGCAACTGATTTGATAACTGTGTCACTTCGTTTTTGGAGTATCTCTTCTGAGATTTATTCTCCAAAACTGCCCTCTTGGGAGAGTATTTGGAGAAATATTAAAACATTGGACAGTATGTTCTTGCATATGGTTATATGATGTAGCACTCTGATGCCAAATGGATATATATGCAAAATGTGCATAGCTAGAGCAATCACTATTCCATGATAAAAATGATTAGACAACGAAACATGCATGTTGCACTTGAAACTTTCTTACAGAACTAGTAGATATTCAATCTTACAAATGGTGGGTGATCATCCTTGGACATCATATCTTAATTTTGAAATATAACAGAGGACCACAATACCTCATCAAATTTATGTTCTATACATGTCAAGAAAACTGAATTTGACGTATTATAATTTATCAGAGATCTAAAATTTACTCATGTAATCATAACAAATTGTGAATACATTTAAATCTTTTCCAATTAAAAAATAAATTTATGTAGGTTATTGTATCCAAAAGAAAGCACAAGCTCTAAATAATTAGTATTGTTAGATGAGTAGTTAGTATATGATACATCAATTAATCCCAAAATCACAAGAACAAGACTGCACGTACCTCTTGCCGAGCTAGCTTTAGCTCTGCCTCAAGTGGCGCAAGGATAGCTTCAATAGGGGGCATGTCATCATCTTTTTGAGCTGCATGAACCCTCCTGAGGGTAGCTTCTGCAGCGAACTGAGCAGCCATGGCTGCTTTTCTCTCATCATTTATCTTTTTGATTTCAAGGTTCTGCAAAGTCATGTCCTCATAAAGTCCTGTCTCCAGTGGAAAGGAAGAACAATGGAGTACATAAAATAACTCAACTACCTTGTTTTCTAGAAGAGATTCTGTTAACTTGAGCTTCTCATCCACCTTAGTCAGTTCATCTGTTAACTGAAATAAGACGGAGCAATCAATTCATATCAACACTAAAAAGGAGCAATCCAGAAAACTCAAAAGAACACTGAATGCAGATGGCGAAAAAGCAAAGAAAACTATTTACTGAAATAGAGGTCTGTGAAATGCAATTTTGATAAAGCTCAACCACACAAACAAAATAGACATGCAAATAACAAAGACATTGGACCTGTTACTTACTCTTTCAAATGAAAACAGCTGTAGATGTGAACCACCTTTCAAGATAACACATCTACAAAAAAATGTACTGCAAAGTAAAAGAAGGAAAAACATCTCACGAATCATACGCAGTAATGACGACATTATCTGAGGAGACTCGAACAAATGCATAATTACTACACAGACGACAAGTAATCAGATGACATTCACCATTCATCATTTCATACCAGAGATAAAATGCAGGCACATGACATTTAACCAAGAAATTGGATGGCATTTCACAACGAATTTGCATTACCCAACATAGACTACTTAACCAAATTACCAGTTCATAATCAGTGGTGGATCCAGAAAAAATTTCTTAAGAGGGACGGACGACAAGTATCTATTACCTAAATGAAAATGAGCTAGTAATTTCAAATGGACTGCTAATCTATAATGCTAAATGTGAATTGTTTGAAAATTCACGTAGGAATGCAAGTTTTTTATATCTACGGGGGGAACATTCTAATTAGCAAAGGATTTAGAAGGTAATTTCTAGATCGTTAGGGCTACAATTGCCTGCCTGCTTCGCTATATGCATCCGCCTCCCTTCATAATAGGAAAAGAATTCTAACTAAATGCAAATATCAGAAACATTCCTCTGAATAAATCATGTGTCAGTAGATATAAACCTTATTATAACTCTCACTTTCATATCAGACTGATTATATTTGTTCCAAAGTACTAGGAATTTTTTATGGATTAACATAAACTTTAGAGAAAAAGGTCAAATTTATCCTACTACATTCATAGATAACTACCAAAGTGCACTTTTTTTCAAAAAAAAAGACATAAAATCTGAGACCTCTTCAACCGCCTTCTCTCTAGCTCGCTCCGACAACCTCAGCGCCCTAATCTCCCCATGCGCCTCTCCCAGTTCCCGATCCTTATCTGAACAAAAAAAAAATCAGGGAAAAAAATAAAAATGCTACATAACAAAATTGACCTAAGGTAATCGAACCACATTCGGACCTCTAACTTCGTTCTCGAGGCGGCTGAGCTCGACCCTCACCGGATCCGATCCGTGCAACAAATTGATGAACTCCTCCGTCTCCGAGCTAGGTTTCACCGACGGCCTCCTCTTCAACATCGCCGACGACTTCCCCTCCCCTTTGAAGGACACTGACGCCGTCAGCGACGGCATCGCATTGCCGACTCCTCCGCCGTTAGGATCCGCCATCTCCGATCTGAATCGTACTGTCTCACATCAAGGAGCTAGGGTTTTGCTTCGTCTTTCTGAAAGAACTTTATTTCTTGAAATAGTAATAATTAGAGCAAGAAAGAAATGGTACTTGTTTTTCTTCTTCTCTTGCTCGCTTTAAACCTCTGAGAGAGAGGGTATATTTTTACAGTGCTGAAGAGTAAGAAGCTGGATTTGCATTAATTTCTGTGGATAATTTGACGAGCGCAATGATTTGCATTAATTTCTGTGGATAATTTGACGAGCGCAATGATTTGCATTAATTTCTGTGGATAATTTGACGAGCGCAATGATTTGCATTAATTTCTGTGGATAATTTGACGAGAGCGCAATGATTTGCATTAATTTCTAAAGAGTAAGAAGCTGATTTTTACAAAAGGAAGGAGAGAGATATCATGTGCACCTTGATTTGTATTAATTTCTGTGCATAATTCATTCATCTCTATCTCTCTACTTTCTTATAGAATGCTCATCGGCACTCTATAGAAAAACTGATTTTCAAAATAGCCTTATTTGCACATTTAATCTCACAAATCGACCCACTTTCATAAATATTATAGAAATCGATCTATTTTCGGTCACCGTGGCCGCGAGGTAAGAAGCTGGATCGATTTAAAAAAAACAGTGCACTAATCAACCGGGGTGACGGGGTTGCCAACCCAACAAATTAGAAGGCATTTAGCGCGTAAAGACTTCAATTACTTGAGCTAATTAGCACGTAAAGTCGTGGTTACATGGTCTCTAATTAGCTAGGGTTGTTAACCTGGGCTAATTAGAGAACTATGTTTTCTAAATCAACCCGGTTTCTAGCCACACAGCTGATATGGTCGAAACTGGATCGATTTCTATAATATTTTTGAAAGTGGGTTGATTTTTAGGATTAAAAATGTAAATGGGGCAATTTTAAAAATTTCTCCCTAAAAGAAAGGTTAAATTACACTAAACACCCAAGAACTTTTAGTATTTTGCTATAAACTCCAATAACTTACAAAATCGCAGTTAACCCCCAATAACTTTTTGAAATTGCAGAAAATAACGCAATAAGTTTTAGTGTCTTGAAGATAACCCCAATTAATATGAACCGAAAAACCTACATAAAAAAAGCATTTTGAAAGGTATTGGTGGTTTAGTGTAATTTACTCAAAAGATATTAGGGGTTTAGACTGTTTAGTGTATTAGGGGTTTTAGTGCGATTTTGAAAGTTGTTGGGGTTTAGTGTAATCTGCCCTAAGGAAATGATGAAAGGCGGTCTCTTTATATCGATCATTTTCCTGCTGCTCTGCCGTTAGAAGGAATTTTTGCTGAAACCCCCGCCTCTTCTTTCTATTGCGTGGATTACTGAACTTTCAGACAAAATTTCTTTGATCAAGTTGCTTGCTTGTTGTTATGAGTTGCAATTTTCACATTTGGACAAAAAACCATTAATCTTATATTTAGATGAAAACTCATGTAATACTAAGAAACTAGATTTAGTAATAATATTACACTTACTTACATGCTTAAAACTACTCCATTAGATACCGTTTGGCAAAGGGTTAAGTGAGGGGTTAAGGAGACTTAACTCAACCCCTCACTTAACCCCTTCTTAACCCGTCAAACACAAAAAAACCTAGTTAAAGTGAGTTAACCCTCCATAATTTTCCAAACATAAAAAATATAGAAAGGTTAAGTTAATCCCTCTAGAGAGATTAAAATGAGTTAACTCCTCAAAATGAGGGGTTTACTAATACTCCTATTTAGAATGATTAAGAGTTAACACTTCTAATTATAAAGAAAATAGTCAAAATCATTGTTATTCTCAAACACTAAAACTGATCACAAGAGCTAAAATAAAACTTATTTAACGGATTAATTATTTAGTCCTTCAGATTATCGAATGGGCTAAGTACATGAATCATAAAAATTGAGGACATCGGAATAGGGAAAGGAATGGGAATGTGGTGATGAGGAACTTAAGGACTTTTGGTTATCCAATCTTGTTAAAAACTATACCTTGCCAATCGGTTGCTCTCACAAATGGAACTCTTAGAACTAGTTACTGCAACTATCAGCTGCTCTTGGACCAGAGAAAGAAAACACTATCAATTGCTCATTTCAATCAAAAATTATAGGAAAATGGGTTACATTTGGGCTAGCAGGTTTTGTAAACTAGCACTTAACAGGGCAGTACGAACCTCTTTGCAACATTTGTATTGCTCATCTTGCTTAAAAATTTTGAGATTTTCAACAAACAACAAAATAAACTGTACAGATCCTTTAAAATCTAAGTAAAAGAAGCACACAGATCTTACAAATTCTAAACTCATGGTATCAAAGTTCACAGGTTTCTACATTACAGCCCAGAGGTGAATGGGATACCGGTAGACGATAACCAGTGATTTCCATCAATAAACCTTTTAACTGTATATGCCTTCGCTTCTTCAGTCTTCAGCACTTTATACCCTGCCCATCTAACTCGATCACTTGTACCCGCACTCGGTCCGTAGTTATCGTACTCCCTGTACACGACAGTACCATGGTTACCGTCCATATCAAGCCAACCAGAGGACTCTATAGCTTTATGAATATACGTCTTCATTATCACGGTCCTCGAGTACTTCTTCCATGGCCTCCCAAGATAACATTTTGCATCTCCTGATTGAAAATTATTTGCGGTAATAATATTACAGTTGTGAATTACGATTCCTGTTTTCTTTGTTTTATCTTCTCTTCCCTGAGCAGTTATCACATTTTGTTGTCCTGGAATTGGTTTTTGTAGTATGATGCTGGAGTTTTGGATTACTGCAGCTGCGTCGCCGAAGATGAAATCGATTGTTCCGTATATTTTGCATTCTCTGAAGAATTGTCGCCCTTGGTTTATGTATAGAGTATCTTGATAGCCTTTGAATGAACATTGGTAGAAGGCACATTTGTCTCCGTTGCTCATTAATGCGACCGCTTGGTGTTTCTGTGGTCCTGATGTATTTTCAAATGAAATGAATTTGCCGATGAAGTTATCTGCAGCTATAGCTGGCAAAAAAAAAATGAAATTAGTCTCCATACTTAAAGGGTATGCAAATAAGTTGATAAGCAAATTATTGTCATGTATATCTTAATTTTGTCAAATACAATGCCATAGAAACTGTAAGATTTGCAAACAGAGGGCGGAAAAGTAACTGCAGGGGAAAGCATTGACCTTATGTATGTCAAACTGGAAATTATACCAAACGTGTAAACTTGAAAGAAAAAAGAAAATCAAAGAATGACCAAATAAATATGCTGAAAAAGTGCTAAGAAAAATTACTGAATAAATGAACAATAAAATTCAAGAAGACAAATGAGAACAAACCAACTGCAGCAGAGTTCCGAATGTTGTATCCATCATCATTATTGAGTTTGCTACGAACAATTGTCTTGCTCGCTCCGTCACCAACAAGAATGACATAAGGCCTTGATATGGTAATATTTTCTCGGTAAATCCCGCTCTTTACATAAATTACATAACTCCCCTTCGCTGAACCAGGAATAGATTCCACAGCTTCACTAATTGTGGTGTAATTGCCATTGCCATCTTTAGAGACGACGACATTTGGAGCGAAGCGCTGGCCTGAAAGTTCTAGGAAAGAATTCATGCGTGAATGTTGATACTTAGATATTGCATAAAGATGCAGACCATATATACTAGTGCACGTAGAGAAAAGAATTTTGTTTGTACAAGCTAGCATTTACTTGCTAATTTAAGTTCAAAGAACTGGTTTGTGTTTTGGGTCACGGCAGCTGAGACCCATTAGGAGTATTCTTATGTAATTAGCCGACCTGATCGTAGTTTGAGACACCCATAGTTAAGAGATTAAGGTCATCAAAGTCTCACACGTCTCATACTTAATTTGTCCATGGAGAATTAAGGGTAAATCTCTCACATAAACGGATAAACCTACCTTTTGGCCTATTTTGTGAAACGCACCTGAACTTTAAAAATGTTTCATCCCCTGAACTTTTGGGCGTATCACAAAATCCAATTGTTTGCAACTTTTTTTGCAGAATACACCCCAAATTGCGTAACAGGGGGTTTTCTGAAACTTCCCCTCTTTTTTCGAAACTATTGTTAGGAGTTTGGATTTTCTAAAAGAGATGTTAAAAGGTTGAAGGACGTTCTGAAAATAGTTAATGTTGAAAATTTGGGGATACGTTTGGAGAAAATGGGGGTTTGGCAGTTGGGGTGGTATGTTGAAAAAATGCAACCATTTTTTTTTTTTTGTGTGTGACTCGGTTTCAAAGTTAGAGAGGTTAAGTGACGTGTTTAAAGATCAGGGGGGTTACCTCAAAATGAGCCATAAGATAGGGGGTTAAGCGAAATTTACCCACGAATTAAGGTGTATTATTTTTGCTAATAAATATTTTTAAAGGTCAATTATGGTTCTAATCCATTACCGTGCGATTGACCTTATTTTTAGAGGAAATGAACACAGAGTTCGTATAAATATTAATAGGGCTGTGACTGAAGAAATTTACAATGAAAAGGACCCGAATCGTCGATAGGCAAGTTCTTCAGTTGTCCAATGTCAGCATGTTTTCTGCCTAACGAATTTTTTTTCTTTGAAGACGAACCAAGAAAACTTATGAGGATATCTCCTTATGTTAGTTAATGCAACACCTCAATGGTCATTTTAGAGATTGAATTAAGAAGATTAATATGCTGATGATAATGATAGTAATGATGACAACGATGATGTTTAAGTTCGTGATGCATGTGTTTGATGATGTTAACTTTGTGGTTGTATGTTTGAACAAGCGGTCGAATCATGGTGCTCAACATAATCTTGATCTCTTACTTGGTGCTAATCAGGACAAGTCAGCTTAGCTTGGGCTAATGCATTTTGCCTATTTTTCGCATGAATATCATCTATTTTAAATTGACAGACCTCCTCCTCTTCCTTTTTTGCTAGACATCACAATATGGTGAGGTAGTGTTGAAAATCAATTTATCATTTCCCATTAGAAAAACCATTGAGTACCCCTTTTTTTATTTTAGTTTATTTTATTTTATTTATTTTGAAGAATGGCCATCTGTTTAGATAGAATCGATTATCAAACAGAAGATTGCTGATTCACAAGTTCAAGGAACAAATATTCTATTTTTGATCGACAACAGAGTAGATAACAAATGTTTTACTAAGAATTAATGTCCATAAATTTGGTAAAATAATTTTGACGAAGTATCGTCTACACCCAGTATTGCACCTCTTTTTATGATTCGAACAGTCAAGCATGTATCGATGAATTTGCTTGGATAGTAAAGACAAGGCTAATAATGAGCTACATGTGGATCTTCAGATAATTATTACATTAGTTTACCTAATTAATCAATACAGGTATATAAATCTCATACAGGCAACGCTCGAAGCTGAGTTCAGGCAAACCTGCAGTTCATGCGAGCTTTGGAAGTTCAGGCGGACCGAAAGATCATGCGAGCTTTGGAGGTACAGGCGAGCTCCAAGTGCAGGCGAAGCAGTTCAGACGAGCTTGACTATGTTCAGGCGAACATAAGTCATACAGGCGAGTTTCGCAGTTAGGCAAACTCGTAGAAAACAGATTCCTAATTTGTTTTGACCTAGGGTTTCCCTATAAATAGGGAACCCTGGCCGCCACTTAAACGCGACTTTTTCCAGAGCGATTCCTATAGCGATTTTGGCGGCGATTTTTGCAGCGGCTTGAGCGGTGATTTTTCAGAGAGAAATCTCGCGCCTTGAGAAATAAAAAGAGAGTTCTTTTTTAGTGATCTCAAGGAGTTTGAGATCATCTCTTGCAAGTTTGTAATCTTCTTTAATATTCAAAGGAAATTTTTTGTGTGGTTCTCGAGAACGTAGGCAAGTTGTCGAACCTCGTTAAAATTTTGGTGTTCTCTCTTCTATTTTTTCTTTGCAAAGTTTTTTTCATTTGTTGTGATTTTTTCTTGCCTTCTTTCAACACAAGATTCGGAGGGCACGTTCCGCGAGAGGGTTTATTTGACAGGTTGTCGATAGGACGAATCCCCAATAACTGGTTTCAGAGCTTCGTTCGAATTAGATTTGTGTAAGAGCTATGGCAGAAGAAGGTAATTCAAAGATTGAGAAGTTTGACGGATTAGACTTCGCCTACTGGAAGTCACAGATGGAGGACTATCTGTACCAGAAGGATCTTTACCGTCCGTTGATGGGTAAAACAAAAAGAAAGAAGAAGGATGAGACCAACGAGAACTGGGAAATAGTGGATCGAAAGACTTTAGGACAGATCCGATTGTCGCTCGTAAAATCAGTCACACACAATATATTAAAGAAGAAGATGATGGTAGGGCTTATGGAAGTGATCGCAAAGATGTACGAGCAACCGTCAGCTACAAACAAGGTGCATCTCGTCAAAACACTCTTCAATCTTAAGATGGCAGAATGATGTTCCTTCACGATGCATCTCAACGAGTTCAACACGATTGTTGATCAACTCATATCAGTCTACACCACGTTTGATGACGAAGTGCAGGCCCTATTAATATTATCGCAGTTGTCAGATAGTTAGGTAGATTACGTGACCGCAATTAGCAACTCTGCAGGGAAGGAGAAGTTGAAACTGAACGAGGTTGTTAGTATAATTCTATCCGAGGAGATTGTAGGCTATTTAAAAATCACAATAGATAGTTGGTCCCTACCAAACTTCAATGATGGAAGTTACAATTTGACGACTTTTACATCAGCATCTCGACAAAGAAAGTTACAATTTGACGACTTTTACATCAGCATCTCGATAAAAAAAGTTACAATCAGACGACTTTCATGTCAACAAATGAAAGCTATAATTAGAGGATTTTTACGTAGATCGAGAAATGTTACAATTCAATGATCTTCACGACGACTAATGAAAGCTCTGATTTAATAGCCTTCACGATCAACTGTGAGAGTTACAATCTGACGACTCTCACACCCCAAATAGCTAAAGTGAAGATTACTAAACAATGGTCTTTGCAACACTCTATAGAAGAGATTACAGGTCAACAATTTCTTCTAAACGCGTAACTTACCTCTGAAGTTCAACCTTCGAAACACAGGCGGCCCCTGCGTTTTCAGCGTTTCAGCTTCAAAACGTAATGCGACCATTGCATTTCAGCATTAAGCGAATGCCTAACTCTGTGTCCCAAACCTGAGACGCAGAGTTCGATTCCAGAATGTCAGCTGGAGGCGTTTGACTCATTCAAACATGAGCTAAACGGTTTCAGAACTGTTTTTCCTACGATCTGAGGGAATCTCGTCCACGTTGGAGCGGATTAAGGGGTTAGTTACACACCTTATCTTCCTATAAAATCTCAACAAACCAATCAGAGAGGGGTTTGGATTTTTTTGGATCAGATCATCCAAGAGATTGGCGATTTTGGTAAAAGAGGACCTGGAGTCGGATTTTTCTAAAAAATTTGATTTTTGATCAAATCTCCAGGAGATCGGCTAGAGAGCTTCTTGGCAACAGAGAATTTTAACACTTGGCTATTAACCGAATTTTCGGCTCAAACAACTCTTTTCATAGAGTTCCAACTCATCCTGAGTTCATAAACTCGTTAATAGTTCTTTTTCAAACTTGTCACGCAAGTTAATTGTTCCAGCAAAGGAAGACGTCCAGATCATCAATTGAGAGCAAACTCGAAGCGAACATTCGAGGGAGGCATTCCATCGCTTCCGTGAAAAACCCAGAATTAAATAAAGGGAAGAATTTACATCAATTCTCTCCTCTTTTATAATCGGGAATTTAAATTGTAATCGAGATTGAGAGAGTTATAAACATTCTTTTTTTTCTAAACAGTTAGAAAGAATAAATCAAATTTAATTCTTTCATTTTTTTTATTACAAATTTTCCAACAAACAGAGGTTAGAAGAAAATCGCACGAATCAGAAAGTTCAGGTTCGGCCCTAAGTCTAGAGCAGAGAGCCCGAAACCGTAATAAGGGTAATTAGAATAGGAATCGATCAAAGTTGAAGAAGAAGAAGTCAAACTCGAATGTGAGGTCTATCAAAGGGAAATGTTGGAACTGCGGCCAGGAGGCCCATATGTCTTTAGTCTGTAAAGCATCAAAGAAGGATACAAATGAGCAGGAGGCTCATATCATGGAAGATGCATTGATCCTTGCTATTGACAGTGATTCGATTCATAGGTTATTGATTCGAGAGCCTCATTCCACACTACTGCTAATAGGAAGCTTCTTCAGAACTATGTAGCAATGGATTTTAGGAAAGTGTACCTGGGGGATAACGAGTCCTGTAGTATTGTGGGAAGAGGTGACGTGCAAATACAGATAAAGGGATCTAAGTGGAATATGAAGAACGTCAGACATGTACCGAAGCTGAAGAGGAATCTTGTTCAGGTTGGCCAGCTTGGAGCAGAAGGCTATGTTACGATATTTATCGGGAATTCATGGAAAATCTCCAACGGTACTATAGCAGTTGCCCGTGGTAATAAAACCTGAACACTCCACCTAACTTCACATGCGAGTGACACCTCGCAATTGCAGCTGGTAAGGAAAGTGCAGATCTGTAGCACAATAGGTTGGGACACATGAGTGAGGAGAGTATGAAGATTTTACACTCAGACGGAAAGCTAACCGAGGACATTTTGGGATTCGTTTAAAGAGGACTACTCTAGGGACACCGCAACAGAACAGTGTTACAGAGAGAATGAATAGAACATTGACAGAGCGTGCGAGGAGCATACGTCTACATGCAGGTCTACCCAAGACATTTTGGGCAGACGCGGTGGATACATCAGGGTACTTAATTAATTATGAGCCTTCAGTCCCATTAGACTTTAGGATTCCAGAAGAGGTTTGGAATGTCAAGAAGGTTAATCTCTCACACTTGAGAGTCTTTGGTTGCGTGGCATATGTTCATATTAGTGACCATATCAGAGACAAGCTAGAAGCTAAGTCACAGAAGTATACATTCATTGAATACGGCATTGATGAGTTCGGATATCGTCTGAGGGATGAGAAGAACAGGAAAATCATCAAAAGCCGAGATGTCATATTCAATGAAGAGGTGATATATAAGGACAGAGACAATGCCAAGGATAGTCAAAGCAGTGGGAGCAATACTAAGGATGCAGGTGGATCTGAGTACATGGATTTAGAGGAACTTCCAGATGGGGGAGACAATGTCAGTTCTGACCGAAAAACAAAGGAGAATTCATGTGTAGAGACGACTTCCCAGGGCGCGGATCTTAGGAGGTCATCCAGGGTACCCAAACCAAATCCAGATATCTTTCGTCACTTGATTGCTTACTTTTGATAGATAGCGGAGAACCGGAATGATATGAGGAGGCCATGCAAGTTAGTGAGTCTCAACAGTGGGAGCATGCGATGCAAGAAGAGATGGATTCTCTTCACTTGAACGAGACATGGGAGTTAGCCCAGCTACCTGTACAGAAGAAAATCTTACATAACAAGTGGATTTACCGAGTCAAGTAGGAGAGTGACGAAAGCAAGAGGTACAATGTCAGATTAGTTGTGAAAGGATTCCAACAGAGAGAATGAGTGGATTATACATAGATATTTTTTCCTGTAGTGAAGCTCACAACTATCATGGTGGTGTTCAGCTTAGTAGCTGCTGAAAATCTCTATCTTGAGCAGTTGGATGTAAAGACTGCCTTTCTTCATGGTGACTTGGATGAAAAAATCTACATGAAGTAACATGTTTGCTTCATTGAGGAAGGAAAGGAAGAGATGTTGTGTAGGCTTAAGAAGAGCTTATACAGTTTGAAATAGACTTCAAGACAGTGGTACAAGAAGTTTAATAACTTCATGCAGAGCAATGGTTATGGAAGGTGTAACTCAGATCATTGCTGCTACTTCAAGAGGTTTGAGTCCAGCTATATCATGTTATTGTTATATGTAGATGACATGTTAGTTGCAGGATCGTGTTTACAGGAGATAAATAAGTTGAAGAAGCATTTGGCAAAGGAGTTTGCTATGAAAAATTTGGTACATGCAAGCAGATTCTTCGTATGCGAATCAGTCGGAATGTGGTTGAAGGGACGTTAAAGTTGAGTCAGGTTGAATACATTGAGAAGGTACTTCAGAGATTCAACATACAGAATGCTAAGGCCGTTAGTACGCCCCTTGGAAGTCAATTCAGGTTATATGAGGAGCAATCGCCCAAGACAGATGCATAGGAGGAGCACATGAGAAAAGTGTCATATTCATCAGCCATTGATAGTCTGATGTATGCAATAGTCTGCACGAGACCGGATATCACCCATGCAATGGGAGTTGTGAGCAGGTTTGCAAGTAACCTAAGGAAGCAGCATTGGGAGGCCGTGAAGTGGATCCTGAGATACTTGAGAGAGAATACAGATCTACCATTGTGTTTTGGGAAAAAAGAATTGGTACTGTAGTGATACGTGGATGCAGATTTCGCCGGAGATCATGATACAAGGCGAAGCACCACGGGGTATGTTTATACCTTAGGGTCGACAGCAGTGAGCTGGGTCTTACGTTTGCAGAAGATAGTGACTTTGTCCACGACTGAGACAGAGTATGTCGTAGTAATTGAAGCTAGTAAGGAGATGATTTGGTTTACCGGATGTCTGGAAGAGTTGGGTCTAAAGCGGGGGAACATAGTTCTTTATTATGATAGTCATAGTACTATACACCTTGCCAAGAACCCAGTATATCATGCCAGAACGAAGAATATCGACGTACATTACCATTTCATACGCTCGTTGATAGAGGATGAGAAGTTACTATTAGAGAATATTTTGGGGAGCCAAAATCCTGCAAATATATTGACAAAAGTAGTGACCATTCAGAAATTAGAGTTGTACACAATTTCAGTTGGCCTTCATGCGTAGGAGATGAGGGCGGAGACACACTATGAGAAAGATATTAAATTGAAGAAAGAGATTCTCCGGTTGAAGTAGGTGTTTGCTAAGTTGAAGAGAGCTTGTTGATGGAAGTTTGGTCTCCAAGTGGGAGATTGTTGGTTTCGGGTATAGACCCAAACCTTAGAACAAACATGCAAAGTAAAGATTTCTCTAAGTTAAGAAATCAGGCGAACTTGATAGTTCAGGCAAACTTGATAGTTCAGGCGAACTTGGAAGTTCAAGCGAAGCTCGAAACTGAGTTCAGACGAACCTGCAGTTCAGGCGAGCTTTGGAAGTTCAGGCGAACTTGGAAGATCGGGCGAGCTTTGGAGGTTCAGGCGAGCTCCAAGTACAAGCGAGATCCAAGTGCAGGCGAAGCAGTTCATGCGAGCTTGACTATGTTCAGGCGAACATAAGTCATACAAGCGAGCTTCGCAGACAGGCGAACTCGCAGAAAACAGATTCCTAATCTGTTTTGACCTAGGGTTTCCCTATAAATAGGGAACCCTGGCCGCCACTTAAACGCGACTTTTTTCGGAGCGATTCCTGTAGCGATGTTGGCGGCGATTTTTGCAACGCCTTGAGCAGCGATTTTTCAGAGAAAATCTCGCGCCTTGAGAAATAAAAACAAAGTTCTTTTTGAGTAATCTTGAGGAGTTTGAGATCATCTCTTGCAAGCTTTGTAATCTTCTTTAATATTCAAAGGAATTTTTTTGTATGGCTCCCGAGAATGTAGGCAAGTTGCCGAACCTCGTTAAAATTTTGGTGTTTTTTATTTTTCCTTTGCAAAGTTTTCTTTTATTTGCTGTGATTTCTTCTTGTCTTCTTTCAACACAAGATCCGGAGGGCACACTCCGTGAGAGGGTTCATTTGACAGGTTGTCAATAGGACGAATCCCCAACAGATGCAGCTACTTATCTCCTCTTATTTTTTATTAACACTTACATTTCATGAATCTCAGACAATAATGTTTTCTCGTTAGGCTGTGGTTAGGTTGTGATGCCTCGGGGAATCATGCATGTGACAATAAATTTTTTTAGTCATGAGGTTATTTGCAAATAAGTTGTAGCCCCATTTATACCATCTAAACTAATTTATAGCAACTTCATCATCTGAATTTCAGACTACGTTGTTTTTCATTAATGGAGATATCGTGTGGAAATCATGTGCCGATAAATTAATTAACTTTATACTGTCAAATTAGAGAGCAATTTAGTTTTTTTCCAGTCAAATTGAGGATTAAAAAAATTAATTTCATGTGTTGTCGTATAATTAAAAAAAAAACTCTTGTGACGATTGATACTCATTTTATTTTCTATCTTCAGTCGTATTAGCAGATAACTGCATAGTAAGGCACATTACTTTCGAAAACGCATCAGGCAAGGAGAAAGGCCAAGCTGTAGCTCTGAGAAGCGAAGGAGACAAATCATCCTTCTTTCTCTGCGAATTCCTCGGCTATCAAGATACCCTCTATATCAAGATACCCTCTATGTGAACGGAGGCCGACAATTCTTCAGAGAATGCGACGTATACTGAACTGTTGATTTTATCTTTGGTGACGCAGCTATATATGCTGCTTCAAAAGTGCAACATCTATTTCCGATATTTTGGCTTCATGACTGCTCAAGGAAGAATTTATAACACACAGAATACAGCAATATCAGTCGATAGGTGCTATATCAAAGCTTCTATTGAGTTTCCGAAAGAATCAAGAAAGTAACGATGGAAGGATTTTGCGAGGGTTATTGTGATGAAGACGCGTATTGATGATGTTATCGATCCTGCGGGGTTGAAGATTGGGATGGTAGGAGTAGAACTGCTGAGTATATTGAGTTCGATAATTTTTGGTCCTGGATCGAACGTTGATGGCAGAGTTCGATGGCCAGGGTTTAAAGCGTTGCAGGCGGATGAAGGTGGAGAGGTGAAGCCATTTTCGGTTGGGGTGTTTATTGATGGGAATGAGTGGTTGCCTTCAACTGGCGTTCCATTTGATGCCGATGTATGATAACCTTTAATTTATGTTCTCTCTGTATATGTAACTACAGGGTTCATAAATAAAAGGAGCATGAATAAATATCTTAATAAGACTGCATTTAGCTATTTACTGGTTCATTTTTTGGTATTTTGTTTGCAGACAGTTGTCCATGTATATAATATGGCTTATATGACGTACAAATAAATGTTTAAGAATTAGGACATATTCATATCAGTATATTCAGATACGTATCCATATGCTGTTTATAAATCCATACAATCAGCGGAATAAATACCAGACGGAGGGAAGAAAATGAGAAGATTATTAGCCTAGGAGACACTGATGCAAACTTCACATAACTTGCTTGCATAAGTCAGAAGGAGAGGACCATGGAAATTTAAGCAGACATGAAGGATTATAAATATAACAATTTCTAAATAAACTCCAATCAATGATATAAAATTAAGCATACTTAGCACACAAAATTCGCAAAACTTTCCCAAGGGTACCGATCATTGAGATGCCCACAAAACACATGCTGTTTTTAGAATGACACCAAATCGACACACAGAAATACAACAGAAAAATAGTACTTTACACACTTCACAAAAAATGCTGAAAGAACACATAAGGTGATCCAAACCACATCAAAACCCTGTATTGAGGCTATTTCTTTTTCTTTCAAAGGTAAGAGAACTCGTATTGATCAGAACTTCTTTTACAATAGAACCCAACCATGCTGAGGTTTACAAAACACTTGCAGACTATGTAATACTCACCGATATGAACGAAGCTAAGAAGACTCAACAAAATCAAAACCCCAGCAATCAAACACCGAACAAGAGTACAATCTCTCTTACTGACTCAACAAAAAAGAAATCTATACACTTAACAAAAAGGCCCTTCATCGCCTCCACTAAAAATAACTCTTGAGCAAACCATCTAGAACCAGCATTGAGACTTTGCCTTCTAAGTTCGCAAAGATGGGAGGACAGGCCACCAGTTTCATGTAAAAATTTTGTGGTTATCATGTAAATGAACCCTTTTCTTCTGTCCCTTTCTACTTTCGTTTGATTGTTACTATAGTACTTAATTGACTGGGATTTGTACATCCAAACCAAGACATATGGTTAGCTGTCATAAGTACTCACTCCTTCAAAGGATATTTGAAAGGTGGCGCACAAATTCAGTATGCAGTGAATGACCAGCCTGTAAATAAAACGATCATGCTAATGGTACTTTTCTGTGAATTTGTTGTTACTTGTTTTGAGGCAAATTCCAGAATATAAAGGGGGGGAAAGAGACAGTGAAGTGCGCCTTTCCTGTTTTGGACTTGCCGTTATATAGATTACTGTTATTTAAATTGTTAATAAGTACTATTAGGTTTGTTGTGCTATGAGAAAGGAAATATTGATGAAAAGATAAAATGAAGCAGATACGGGTGGTGAAACCATGAAAACTTTGAATATGTAAACCATCATAAATCATTGTTAAAGACAAAAACATGGCATGATGGCGAAAGATGCTAACCTTGTAAGCAATTATATGCGCAAGTGGAAGCCCCTGGTTACCATTTTGCGCAAAAAGAGAAAAATCCCCTACAAGGTCCAAGAGCTTATGACGACAAGGTTCATCATCAAAATGCAGAGGCGGGTTTAGCCAACTGGTAGTGGCACTGGAAAGACAGGAAAGAAAACATAACAAGATGACAATGAATCATCGTATTTTGCAGGTAACATATTATCTTTTTCCAACAAGATAAAACCCAATGACATATGAAATAAATAATATTGTTAGCGCTCAAGCGACATTTATGAGACAACAACCAATAACTGAAGCAACAGTAAACGTAACAAAGGCTATTGCACCTGCAAACCATTGCATTTTCCAGTGATCCTCCTTGAATGAGACCAGCTTTGCGCATCATTTCGACCTGTAAACAAGTCAACTCCATAATGAGGTTTGTAAATATATGTAAGATACAAACAATCCAATTACAAAAAAGACCACTCTCACATGCTTCAATACATTCTAGAGGCTTCGTCACATAAATAGCAACTCAATCTTTAAAAAAAAAGAGAAAGCTCTTGACGCCTCTACATCCAAAACTGTATTTTAATGGAAGAGAAGCAAAGAAGCAATTTTTGGTAAAATCGTTATAATCCTCTCCTACTTGTTCATGCTTTCCACATCCCATTCGTAAAAATTGATGTCGTCATCAGTTAATTATAGTTATATTACTTTCTTTTCAGTTGTGATTTAATATTGTATGTGATTTAATCAAAGAACTTCTTTACTTAAACTATTTAACAATTAAACAATCTACAATAAGGAAAAGTGAAAGGTATGAATTACTATTTAACAATTAAGCAATCTACAATAAAGAAAAGTGAAAGGTGTGAATTGTTGGAATTAATATTAGAAAAACTTTACCAAATATGCAAGTGTGTAAACAATTAGCTGACTGACATCTAATTTAGCATGTACATAGTATGAGCTTACATCTTTCTCATTGGAATCGAGTTGTTTTGAACATCATTTACCGTCTATCCTAATATTTCTAGTTCCTTCTTTTCTCATATCAGATTTTGCAAATCTATGCTTTCTCCAGAATCACAGAACTATTCAAGATTTCTTCGTTGATATAAGAGAATGTTATTGATCAGCACAAACTACTAGAGTAATTTAGATTCTGTTGGTGGAAGCTGAGATATGGAGCGGGAAAAGATATTTTTGTTTGTTTCTGTTGGCAGGGCGGGGTGAGGGTGTTAAACAAGTAATTTAGATTCTCACCTCTTATGTATATCCTCTCCCATGTCAAAAAATATCTAGAAGGAAACCAAACAGCAAATGCTTGACTAACTACCCAGTGTAAACTATATGATTATCTCCATTATGAACTTGCAAGATGTGTGTGTGTGACTATCTACCCAGTGTAAACTATATGATTATCTCCATTATGAAATTTGCAAGATGTACGTGTGCGTGTATGCGTGTGTGCGTGTTAGGTTAAGGTAGATAGGGACATGGTGGAGGTGGCAGCATATTTTATGTCCAAGTGATGACTCAAAGGCAGCCTAAATGTATCCAGCTTTGAAGTGGCAGTTTACAACTCTATCCTGAATAGCGATGAGCCCATTCTTCCACTCGAGGAGTCACAATTTATCCAAGCCTATTAGTAGCACCAACTGCCTTTATCTTGAACTGATCCATGTGTTATACGTTACAGATTAAAACCTTTATCTTATAACAACATTTGAGATTAACAGAATTAAAGTAGTAAAGCCAAAAATACATTATAACTAGAACAAATTGTATATAAACCTCTTCATAAATGCAGAAGGTTCTCGAAGGAGCTATTTCCTTGGAGTAAATTGCATCATCCATGAAACATGAATACCACTGACATCCAATAGCTGGTGCCTGAGAAGAAGAGTGATTATGAATATATAGCATCTCAGAGATGAAAAATTACATCCAACACTCAGCAAATGAAGCACTTCATATGCCAATAATTGAGAATGTTTTATAATGATCTTCTACGTTATCTGGGTACTTCTAACTGAACCTGTACCCATACCCAACACGTGCCTGTAGCCGTATCCATACCCAAACTCCTCGCACACTCCTTGCATATATGAATATATTTAGTCAGGCATGTACTCACTTGTGCAATATATGTTATAAGTTAAAACACTTCTCATACACTTCTTGAATGCATATCCTCAGCTTCACATCCACTTACTAAAACACGTTGGACTTAGGTCGGACTTGGAACTGTTATCTTAAAAAATTGTTTGGGTGTCTAGATTGAAAGGTGGTTTTCCAATTTATAGTCCGTATAATAAAAGAAACATAAAAATATTATAGGAATTCTAATTCTCATAACACGTGAATGAAAAACAATAGGACAAATTTTCAAAACCGACCTCTTTTCAAATTTATTGGGCAAAATCGACCGTTTGATTTTTTAATGAGCAAAACCGACCATTTTCAAGGGAAAATGGTCGGTTTTGCTGAAAAGATATTTTTCGGAGTGTTCGGGACTAGTAGTCCCGAACACTTAAAATGTGAACATCAGGTGTTCGGGACTACTAGTCCCGAACATTTGCATGCCAATGATTTGGGCGTATGAAAAATCCTGTGTTTTTATTAAGCAGCCATTTCCCTGATGAAGAGAAGTAAAAAATTCAGTTTCATTAATTACCAAAGCCTCCATCCTCAAATTTCTATTTTTGACCCTAAAACTAAAATTTTAATTTAGACTAAAGGAACCTTGGAGAATGAGACTGCAAGAGGCGGGGTAGTGATCCCATCATGCTCAATCAAAACAACTCCAGACTCCGACGAGAGGTCGCCAAGGTAAGGCCTTTTCCTCACTGAGAAATGGCAAAACCAAACAACTCCAGACTCCGACGAGAGGTCGCCAAGGTAAGGCCTTTTCCTCACTGAGAAATGGCAAAACCCTAATCAGCGGAAACAAGAGGAAAATCGCTGAAATCGAAGGGAAAAGAGAAGGTGAGATGAGTACCTCTGAACCCATTTAGCTCTCTGATTGTGAGATCGCCGAAGAAAGATGAAGAGGTCGAGCTGAATCTATGATCCATTGGCGGAAATCGAGAAAAGAGATGGGGAGAAATGAGGAAATTAGGGATTTTGGCCGAGGTTTATTTGGCATGCAAATGTCCGGGACTAGTAGTCCCGAACACTTGATGTTCACATTTAAGTGTTCGGGACTACTAGTCCCGAACACTCTGAAAAAATTTCTTTTCAACAAAACCGACCATTTTCCCTTAAAAAGGGTCGGTTTTGCTCATTAAAAATTCAAACGGTCGATTTTGCCTAATAAATTCGAAAAGAGGTCGGTTTTAAAAATTTGTCCAAAACAATATTGTTCTCATGTAAATTATTAATATCAATATACAAAATTATTAATATCAATATGTGCATATAGATATTTATATAGTCATGTCCCTGTATCCTACCTTTTACAAATTTGTTGTATCCCGTACCAGTACCCATTTCCATGGAAATTAGATGATATCAAATTTTGCTTTCACAATAAAACATGGAGAATTCTATTAAAAATACAACTTGAATGCTTAAAAGTCCTTAAAACTGAAACAAGCATATAAAGTTTAAAAGTAAGTTAAGTAACAGTTTATCATTTTGACGGAAAATTTCCAAAAAGCACTACGTAAATATAACGTACATCTTATCTGTTTCAGTTAGCATGCTTTATCAAGAAATCACTTGGTGTACAAGGCTTTACATCATGCCCAAAAGGCGAAGTTTTACTAGCTCGATATACTTTTACGCATCGTGTGATCAATGAACAAGCAGTAGAATAAATGTAAAAGTAATATATAAATCCATTATTCGATGAGAACTGTACCTGGGGAAAATTTATTCCGTATGTGATCTGAGATTTTGAAGAAGGAAATGCCATTAGAAAAGAATCCTTCCTGCATACAAATTTTGGCTTGTGAAGAAAAGGTGCCATTTTTTCCTTGTGACTTCCATTAGAATCCTTTGCAACACATACACCAACTTGCTCTACTGCCTCTACCCATCCTTTTGCAGATCCATCTAGCAAAGGAACCTACAATAGTCAATTGTAAATGCTATACGCAATGTTCGATAAAGTTTCTACAGCCTTTTCTGTAGAGAAATATAAATTGCATTTGCAGAAATTTCAGGAAAAACAAACAACATGATGAGCACACGTTAGAAAATGTAACCAGTTAAAACTCTTTTAAGACAAGGATGAGACGAATGTCACAAATCCTGTGCATAAAAAAGCAGCATGAACATGTGAGAAGAGAATTACAAAACGTGAACGATACTATACGACAGTTACACAACAAACACCAACGTATTTCCTGTAATTTTTCTTTAAGTGTTATGGGTATAACTATTAACCTTTGATTTTGAGCATTACTACTTACATTATGGCACACGCTTAACTTTTAGAAAAATGAACATGTTTCTTCATGTTATTCATCTCCTGACAGTATCTTAATAAGTTTCTAACACAATGTCCTTGAAATCTTTTTCCATAATCCAAACACCAAAGTCCAACAGTGCATGCGACAAAGCCCACATCGTAAGTGGGGCTTCACCTCATCAACCACAGCGTATCCCCAAAAGCTCCCCGAGCAAATTCATGACAAAGTTCGTCTTCAACATCTTAATAAGCAACCCGTAAATATTAAACACATCTAAAGTCAATAACATGAACATCCCCATTAACCCGACTTCTACTGCTTGTGCATGATCCCCACTTTGCATCTGCCACAGAGTACTGAACTAAAGACATCGAACTAACCTCAAAATCTGATCTTTCCTGCTCTCCAAGTAAATCAATGGAGGAATCTAAGACTAGGAAAGGAGAAGGGGGGGAATTACTTCTTTAAAACATTTCATCGAGCACCTTAAATCTTTAAACAGTAGTACCACTCCTCCTTTCCCTTATTTCTCCGTTTTGAATCAACGCCAGGGCTCAGGGTGTCCTTAATTAAAACCAAAACAAATTACCTCATCTCCTCCTTCGATCTCGATCCCGCAATTATCAACCCCGAGGCCCTCCAACGCCGACAACAAATGCTCCACCGTCCTCACTCGCTTCCCCTCCTTCATCACCAGCGTCGTGCACAACGCCGACCCAACCGCGTGATCGATCGTCGCAGGAACCCTCCGCCGTCCATTTCCATTCCCCTCGCTCACAACGAAGTACCGCCCTTCGCCGGCCATCGCCGGAAATAATCTGGCGGTGACCGGAACCCCAGAGTGGAGCCCGATCCCTGATAGCGATACCTCTGATGCGAGGGTTTGCTGCGGCTTTCCTAACTGGGGGAGGGTAGCGAATGAGAAAAAGTTAGGGGGGGTTTATCGCGAAAAACGCGGACGAAATGTACGGGGGAGAGTTTGGTTGAGTTGAGTACCGGCGTCCATGAGAAAGCGTGGGAGAGAGTTTGGAGAGCGCGGGGGCGAGGCATTGAGAGGATACAGCGGCGATTCGCTGCGTAAAATCAAAGCTTTGATGCCAGATCGATGCATGCTGTCCCAAGTCCACCATTAAAATAGAGGAGAAATTTTCAAAACAGTCCTCCTTAGACTTTTAATCTAAAAAAAACACATTTTTAACTTATTTTTAGAAACCGACTTGGTTTCAGGTAAATCAGGTCGGTTTTAAAAAAAAAATCCTAAATTTCAACTCCCGTAAAGTTTTATAGTGCAAATTTTTTTTGAACTCACTAAACTTCACGGGAATTCAACTCTCGTAAAGTTTCGGAATTTTTTTTTTCAAAAACCGACCTGGTTTTAGCACTGAGGCTGAAACCAGGTCGGTTTATGAAAATAAGTAGGAAATGAATTTTTTTTTGTGATTATGATTGTAAACGGGATTGTTTTGAAAATTCCTCCTTAAAATAGCATTTGTCCGTTGGGCGCTCCTGCGACTTTAATTGCGTTTTACGCTATTATTATAATTGCTTGTTTGTTTTGAATTGTAACCAGCTCTTATCTTGTGCGCCCAAGGCGACATCCTCCGCACCAATAGGAGTTTTTTTCCCCCTACGAAACATCTCATCGCAATCTCGTTTGTTTTATCCTGTTTCTATCTGGAAAGTATTCCGTCACGTCGTCGGCCCCCCCTCGGGACTTTTCATTTTTTTTCCCCAAACCCTGAATTACAATGTAAATCTATTCCTTTGTACGAATAGAAGAATCCAAGATTTACTATTCATACTATAGTAATTGTTACAGTGACATTTACTGTGGCATTATTACTACAGTAATCAGGAAACGGGATAGTGTAGCATTTTTTTTGAAAATTTGTTGTAGCGCTGGCATTTTTTTAAAATCGCTGTAGCAGAGCGGGATACTGTAGCAATTCAAAGAACATTGCAGCTGAGCGGATACTATAGCAATTCAAAAAAATCAAAAAATATTGTAACATAAAATCGGGGTTACTGTAGTGGGGAAAAAATATATGTCGTGCTTTGCACGGTGTTCACACTAGTGATGATAATAGGAAGCGATAGTTACAGGCCACCCTGAGAGTTTGAAGAGTTGTACTTTCTAACTTTCTATTACATTTCGTACCTAGGGAGGGGGCCAGAAATTTTATCTCGATTAGGTACTAAAGTTTTTAACATGTACAAATTTTGAACTTGTACTATTATTCCATAGGAAAAGTCTAATTTAATTGAAATATACCTACGAACCAAATTTGTATGCTAGAAATATAACTTAACACGGTTTTTTTAGGTGTGTTAGAGCTTAATCGAGATGGTCGCCACTACACCCCCTTTACTAAAGGTTAAAGGTAAGAGTTTTAGATTGGGGCACATAACAAAATAAGAGATTGTATAATAGTACACTTGTAAATATAAGTTAACTAGATTTTATGCACTTGCAATGCACGTGGTTAAATATTGTGATTAGGTATTTTTAGTTTATTTTCTTACTAAAATTTATTCATCGGTTTGCTCTTTGATAATAATTTTTGCTCACTTTGATTAAGTATTTTTGGTTTATTTTCTACTAAAATTTGTTCCTCGATTACACTTTGATTATTTATTTATTTGATGTTTGTTTGAATAGGCTGCATCCAGTTTGAATTTTTATGTTGATAGTTAAATTGTCAGGAGATAAATATAATCTAAAGCCAATTTAAATTTTTATTTCATTTTGATTGGCATGAAACCAAGCTTGACCTGAGGAAGTATAGTGTTATGAAAGTGAAAACACTTGAAAAAATAACATTATAAAAGAAAGATGAATAATAAAGCCAACAAGCCAAGATGATTGATTTAAAGTGGACTAAAATAACAGAAATTTGTTAAGGAAAAAATCATAAACTAAAGATTAATGCTAACTCTAGTACACTTTTATATGATAAAAACATTCACGTATGTATATGAAAGCACTAAAATAGTTTATGAAAATCCCTTCTAAAGATTCCTAATTTTACTAAAAAATAAAATTATTCTATAACAATTCACAAAACATTATCTTTTATTACTTCTATTTTGTTTTTTATTGAATCGAGATCAATTCTTCTTCATCTTTACCTTTTTCCTAGCCAATTATAGAGTAGTAGTGTCTTCATCATTACATCGGTTTTGATATGAGACTGGAGCATGTTATCTTTCCTTGGGCTCATTCATCTTTTGTCTCCTCGTCTAAATTCATAAAAAAAAAGTTGAATATATTTCTTATATTCAACACAAACTTCTGATAATACGAACTTTGATTTTTTTCCCTATTTCAATAAGAATAAATATTAATTTCATATATATGATTTTTTATGCTTTTAATTTATTACTTAAATAAGGTTAAGAGCTACCTCTTTTGTCTCTGCAATGAATTCTTATGTTGTGCATCCAATAAGAATTTCTGTTGTGTCATAATGTTACATATGCTTTGTCTGTGTTATTTTCCATAAGGATCTGAACTAAATACATTAAAATTTTCATTGTCAATTTGCTTTAGATTATAATATTAATATTTAATTTTGATATCTTTATTTTATGAAGAAGGGATATCACTTATTTTATGAAGAAGGGATATCACTTAACATTGGTACTAAATTATCGGCGATTCTACAATATTTATCATCTGGACACTTATTATTAACATATTTATCCACTTTCTTATTGCAGCTTTTGCAAACGTAGAATCACTGCTCAACTCTATTATAAATGGTAGTTATCGTTGACTTAAAGGTGTGATAGTGTGTATGTATATTGATAAATTATTCTTAGATTTAATTGTATAAATTTTAGAGTAGATTTTCTAAGATCATACATCTTTCAAATGTTATAATAATTGTATATATTAGTAATTTGAATTTATGTTGTATTTATAAAGAGGCTTAATGGAGATGTTTTTGTCTTAGCAGCTTACTCTAAAAGAACACAGCATATTAGCTTTAAAATATAATATTTTTTACGTTGTTATATGGATGTTTGCTTGGTTTATTTGCTATTCTCTTATTTCTTCAGTAAGTTATATTTTTTGATTGATATATGTTATTGACGCAGTTTACGATGATATGCATATCTCCTTTATAAATTTGAGACAGATATAAGGTGAATTTTATATTTAGTGGCATTTAATAAGAATTTTACTAATGAAATATACTACCTTCATACTTAGAGATCTTGAATTAAAATAGTGCTATTACATCATTATCTTTGATAGTGTCTTTAAGAACTGATCCTTCGTAAGTAGTCATATCCCTAAATAAAGTCACACGCAGGGTCGTGATACTATATAATAAAAAGAAAAGACTGATTTTATATTTTTTGCTTACGCAAAGTATAATAATTTTTCTTTTATCTTCTATGAAGAATATTTCTTTTATGAGCACAAAGTT